GTTCTGCTGGGGGGCTTTAACATTCATATGGTTAAAACCCGGAAGGTTGTGACTGGCAGGAATGGGTCGCTAGATCAGAATCTGAGCACTGCTCAGTTATTAGACTCGCAAAGCTCTTCTCAAGTCCAGGATGCATGACCGCTTCATTTTTGCAACATGTTAACACTACAACTAAAGGGATTCACATGTTTTATCATCAGTGAACGTATGCATATGAACTCCCGAGTGCAGGTAGGGAGAGACCAAATCAGCAAGAAAAAAGAGAGACACTGAAGAAGAAGAAGAAAAAAAAAACTTTCAATCACATTTTGCTAATTAGTTGTGCCAGAAGAAAACATCCTAATGATTATCATACACTCGCAGAGATGTGATCGCATGAAATTTTAACTTTCAATAAATGGTCGCAGTCTGGACCCATGCCAAATTATTGCATCTGCAGCTGGGTTCCAGTCTTCCTGACAAACACACCCCACGTGGTGAAGTTCACAAATAAAACCAGCGTGAACCGAAACCCGTACTCCCTCTCACCCCATGACTGCATGGCCAAGTTAAGGAGAAACTGCATCATCAAGTTTTGCAGAACATTGGTGCACTTGGAGATATGAGGTGACAGAGCTGGTGGTTTGGTGTCATTAGAATAACAGAATAATATTAGTAAACCAAATAGATTATTGTATCATAGCAAGTGTCAGACACCAATCAGCATTGATCGCTCTTCAGCAGAGACTGTCAGCAAATTTACTGGGCTCTGGATCTCAGACAGACCCAGGTGGACTGAGAACAATCCTCAGGAATGCTTGGCGGTGTTTGTGACTTTGAGTCAACAAAGGGAGTGGGGATACCACACGCACCAGGTTCTACCACAATTGAAAGTGTCACGTGAACATCAGAATTGGCAATGCTTCATACCCAGGTTACTACAGCAAATTTGTCCATCCGCAACGAAAGCCTAACTGTGAAAGAGAAGCATGGGGTAATACTGCCATCTGGTGGAGAAACTGTTACTACATGAACATACAGTGTTGTACCTGTAAGATATCTAAATCGGAATCCACTCGTATGAAGTAACGTGGCCATCGATAAAATAAGATTCTTTCACATCAAAGCGACAAGCTAACTAAACGGAGCTGGAAAACGAATTAAAGGCTACGACCGGCATTTACAACTTTGGCGTCCATTGTTCCCACCTCTTTTAAAAAAACTGAGCTGGCAGTCGATTAATCTCACAACCAGAGTAATGAAATCTCAAATTCAGTCATGTTGTAATTTACTGAAAATACATAGCAACCATGTTCAACTGCAAGAAAATTCATTGCTGGTCAGATTCATTGCTGGTCAGATACATTATTACATTATAGAACAAATAGGTGCAACAACATGTAAGAGGATAACGGGCTTGACGTTGTTTATGGCTCAAATAAATGCCAAAATGTAACAACTTTACTATAAGTACTGCAGCCAAGTATTTCCACAGCAAAGATTACTGTGGAGAAAAAGACTTTTTTCCTTTCTCAATCAAATGCATTCAAATTTATAATAATTCAACGTAACTTCAAGCTGGTGAGCTGCTGAAGTCAGCTACTTGAGGCTCCAGAGTCCCAAAGATATCACGTACACCCGCAACTGGAGATCCTCCACCCCCTCACCTCAAATCCCAAACTAACTTAACTTTTGAGTTCATCTGAAAAATGTAATTCTTTTCGCAAATGTGCATGTGCACTATTATTTAACCATCAACCCCCAAATTCAGTACTTTGTGAAGCATCCTTTAGCCTTTATAATTGCTAGTAAGCATTTTCAGTAAGTACTGACAAGCTTCTTACACCTGCCTATTGGAGTCTCTGCCCATTCTTCACGTGCAGAAGGCTCCAGGTCATTGATGTTTGATGGGATTTAAATCCACGGACTGAGAAGGTTACTTCAGGATATGCCAGGATTTATTTCTCAATCAACCTTTGGTTGACTTGGAGGTGTGCTTGGGATCCTTGTTTTGCTGGAGAGTTCAATCATCACCAAGGATCAATTTCCAAGCAGAGGGTATCACATTCCTCTGGAAACTGGCCTGGTATTTCTGAGAATCCAGGGTTCAAGGTATACAATCAAGACTGTCAGATCCTGCAGCCAAAAACATCCCCACATCATGAACGAATGACTCACTTCCATGCTTGATTGTGGGGATGGCTTTCTTAAGGTCATGAGCCTGGCCTTTCTCTTGCCACACATACTGCTGGTTAATGTGGCCAAACTATTCCAGTTTAGTTTAATCAGTCCATTGAACTAACCCTGCAACCCTGTAGGCCAGTCCAAATTTCTCCTGGCAATTTCTAGTCAACCTTTGATGTTTTTTGTGGTCAACAGTTCTTATTATTTTATGTGTGTTTTATAATAAGTGATTTTATTATAATTAAATTTTTTATTTTGTTTAATTATGAAATTATATTATTAGTTCCGCCATGCGGAAGGTTCAGTTTCCATTCCCTTGTTGTAAATCTGGAGTACCTGGAAGAAACCCCACGATGACATGGGGAGAACATGCAAACTCCACACACATGGAACGCTGGTCCCAAAGGTGTGAGGCAACAGTTAACCACTGCACCTGAACCAACAACGACACCTGAAAATGAAACGACGAATGGAAAATAAGCAGGACTGCCAACTTCGGTCAGCTGGCTGGCATTTTCAACACAAGTCTGCACACACATGCACATTTAAATGTATGTAACAGTTTTGTTACCTTGTAAATAGCCTGAGGATTTGCAAACTATCCCAGCACTTTTAATATAGCTAATTTTAGGTTTATAATGGAATAATATAGATTTACTGTAAGATTCTTGCCTGAGTGTTAAAGTCTGAAAGCATGAGTGTTCGTAAGAGTTGGCAACCCTTAATAATCACAAAATAATAAAAAAACAAATATAAGCTGGGTAACACAAACAGTGGAATGATCAAAAAGATTGTCTAAAATTAAATAAGAATCATGAAAACATTTTTGCCAATCCCCTAATTTTCCACCTGAATCCCTTTTATCTTAATTGCAATTTTGTTTTTAAAAATTCTGCTTGAACACATGTGCATTAGTTTTGGGCAATGAGCTCTGCACTGTTACTGTGCTGGAGTGTGGAAGGTTCACCACAGTACAAAAACACAAGTTAACATACGTACACTTACAGCAATACATATGCATGCACACATATATAGGCCTACATATGAGTATATACATACACATTTACATACAAATATTTACACTCACCTAAAGGATTATTAGGAACACCTGTTCAATTTCTCATTAATGCAATTATCTAATCAAC